CTTGACCTTTCCTTTGACCTTGACCACACTTTTCTTAAATTACTGTTTAGCTCAGTTTTAAACATATCATTCAAGATGGTGTTATTAAACTGTTGATACATACTGATGAGAGCTATTCATCTGCATCAACATTTTTTTTACCTTTACCATTCTAGATATTTTTATCCATCTTCATATGTTGATACAAATTGATGAGAGATATGTGTCACAATCAATATTTAACTTTAATTGCATTTACATTATGTTTATGGTTTTTATTTTATTTACCCTTTACTGACCTTTACTTTTGTTACCTTGACTTCAGTTTTTTGCAGGTATTGGTCATCACCTATTGTATTTTGGGGTATTTAAATCGCTGCATAGCTGACCAGGTAACCAGGGTCCACGTTTTCATAGCTTTTAAATGGTTGACATACAGTCCAAGATGAGTGGCTAAATTTTTTCTTTCAACGGTAACCATTTCTCCTTTTATTTCATATGTAAGTTTTTGAGTAATACATTTAAAACGTAGAACTTTTAAGACTTGAGTTAATTAATGTTTTTGTTACTATTTACGTATACAGGTTTTGCTTAGAGTTACTTGCGTTTATTGTTCTATTTTTGTGCAATGTACTGTTATATACGCACGTAGGCTATTTTGTTTTGCCGCTTATAAAGTCGGTGTTGTGGGTTTAATAGTTACCACTTTTGTTAAGATGTTTTGTATTCTTAACTTTTTCACATGCTGTTACATACTAATGGTGTGCCATTAGTGCAATTAAACTTGATTTTCCTTTTGTATACATTTTTGTTATTTAATTCAAAGGTTTGTAATCCAATTTCCATGTGTGTGTTGGTGACGACTTGACCTGACATATCTTTAATTACGTGTTTAGAACGATATTGAATTTTCAAGAAACTTTAAGTTCATTTTAAATAATGGCTGTGTAAATATATTTTATCAAATTTTATTTATGTAAAAAATTGAAATACATATCTGATGAGAGATATGCAACTGCATCAACATCTTTGACCTTGACCTTTCCTTTGACCTTGACTTCACTTTTCCTAAATCACTGTCAAACTTCATATTCTGATACATACTGATGTAAGCAATTCAACTGCATCATTTTTTTTACCTTGACCTTTTATTTGACCTTGATCTTTCCTTTGACCTTGACCTCACTTATCTTTAATTAGTGTTTAGCTCAGTTTTAAAGATACCATTCAAGATATTTTTATCAAACTTCACATGCTTTACATACTGATGCAGGCAATTAAACTGATCAACATTTTTGACTTTGACCTTTCCTTTGACCTTGACCTGACATATCTTTTTAGTGTTTAGATCAATTTTCACCATTTTAGATATTTTTATCAAACTTCATATGTTGATACATATTGATGAGAGATATGCAACTGCATCAGCATTTTTGACCTTGACCTTGAACTCACTTTTCCTAAATCACTGTCAAACTTCATATGCTGATACATACTGATGCAAGCAATTCAACTGCATCAACATTTTTTTTACCTTGACCTTTTATTTGACCTTGATCTTTCCTTTGACCTTGACCTCACTTATCTTTAATTAGTGTTTAACTCAGTTTTTAAGATACCATTCAAGATATTTTTATCAAACTTCACATGCTGTTACATACTGATGCAGGAAATTCGACTGCATCAACATTTTTTACCTTGACCTTCCCTTTGACCTTGACCTCACTTTTCCTAACTCAGTGTCAAACTTCATATGCTAATACGTACTGATGTAAGCAATTCAACTACATCAATATTTATCAAATTGTGTTTAAGTCAGTTTTAATCAAAGAAATCATTCTAGATATTTTTATTCAAACTTCATATGTTGATACATGCTGATGCGAGATATGCAACTGCATCAACATTTTTGACCTTGACCTTTCCTTTGACCTTGACTTCTCTTTTCTTAAATCAGAGTAAAACTTCATATGCTGATACATACTGATGTAAGCAATTCAACTGTATTAACATTTTTGACCTTGACCTTTCATTTGACCTTGACCTCACTTTTATCAAAATGTTTTTAGTCAGTTTTAAAGAAACCATTTATAATATTTTTTTTTTCAACTTCATATGCTGAAACATACTTTTCAACTGCATCAACAGTTTTTTACCTTGGCATTTCCTTTGACCTTGACCTCATTTTAAAGAAATTAGTGTTAAACTTCATATGCTGATGGATACTGATGTAAGCAATTCAGCTGCATCACTATTCAAGATATTCTGATCAAATTTCACACACAAATACAAATTTTCATGTTACATTACTAATATACCCTTGGCGGGGTATTCATGTCCCATGGACATATTTCTAGTTTCTATATACTATGTTAGTTTATTTAATACCCAGGAGAAAAGAAGATTTTTAAAGATTTAATTTTTTTTCACTATATAATTAAGAGCCCCCTTCCCCCCTTACACCAAACTCCTGACACAGGGGCCATGAAATTCAAAATTTTGGAAGAGGCACTCTTAAGTTCTATATATTAAGTATATGAAATTCACAATTTTCGAAGAAGCACTCTTGGTCATCATAAGTATGTACTTAGTTCGTTTGTTTAATATGCAGGAGCAGAGGAGAAGATTTTCAAAGAAATAATGCACTTTTACAATATGATCTATATAGCCCCACCCTAACACCAGAAACCCTGACCCTGGGGCCATGAATTCACAATTTTTGAAGAGGCACTCTTGGTCATCATAACTATGAACTTAGTTAGTTTGTTTAATACCCAGGAGCAGAGGAGAAGATTTTCACAGATATAATGCACTTTTACTATATGATCTATATAGCCCCACCCTAACACAGAACCCCTGATCCAGGGGCCATGAAATTTACAATTCTGGTAGAAGACTCAATTAAGGAATGTTTTTAAGTTTTGTGTGAGTTATTGGTGTGTGAATCACACAGACTTGTCACGTAGGCATATGCCTATGTGCAAGTCTGTGTGATTCACACACCAATAATTCACACTTAACTTAATAACATTCCTTATATTTAAATTTTACATGTTTGGAAGCAACTAAAATATACTCAATATTTGAATTTCTACTGTATTTACTATTTCTACTGGATCAGGTCACTGAGTATACACTTAAATGGTCTTCAAATCAATTTCACAATTGGCTTAGTAGAAAAACACAGCTAATGTAAATATTGCTAATTACAATCAAGCCAACAGTTTGACTGCTTGATGTTCAGGAGTAAAGAAGAAGATTTTTAAAGGTTGCATTAATTTTAGTGGTTTTGGTCCCAGCTGTCAGTCCCAAGGAGGGCAGCGACCATGAAATTCACAATTTTTGTTCCTCTTCACTCATAGATGCTTTATACCTAATTTGGTTGAAATTGGTTCAGTGGTTCCAGAGAAGAAGCTAAAAATGTTCAAAAGTTTACGACCAATGTCCGATGGATGACAACAAATGAAACAAGAGGCCCACGGGCCTTATAGGTCACCTGAGCATCATGCAACAACTTTCAAATGATTGAATTTGTTTCATGTTTTAAGCTAGATGCTAAGGCATTCACAATTTTGGAAGAGGCACTCTTGCTCAACATAACTATGTACTTAGTTAGTTTATTTAAAACCTAGGAGCAGAGAAGAAGATTTTCAAAGAAATAATGCATTTTCACTATATAATCAATTTAGAGCCCCGCCCTAACACCAGAACCCCTGACCCTGGGGCCATAAAATTCACAATTTTGGTAGAGGCACTCTTGCTCATCATAACTATGTACTTAGTTAGTTTATTTAAAACCTAGGAGCAGAGAAGAAGATTTTCAAAGATTTAATGCATTTTCACTATATAATCAATAGAGCCCCGCCCTAACACCAGAACCCCTGACCCTGGGGCCATGAGTTTCACAATTTTGGTAGAGGCACTCTTGCTCATCATAACTATTTACTTAGTTAGTTTATTTAAAACCTAGGAACAGAGAAGAAGATTTTCAAAGATTTAATACATTTTCACTATATAAACAATAGAGCCCTGCCCTAACACCAGAACCCCTGACCCTGGGGCCATGAATTTCACAATTTTGGTAGAGGCACTCTTGCTCATCATAATTATTTACTGAATTAGTGTATTTAATACCTAGGAGCAGATAAGAAGATTTTCAAAGATTTAATGCATTTTCATTATATAATCAATATAGAGCCCCGCCCTAACACCAGAACCCCTGACCCTGGGGCCATAAAATTCACAATTTTGGTAGAGGCACTCTTGCTCAGCATAACTATGTACTTAGTTAGTTTATTTAAAACCTAGGAGCAGAGAAGAAGATTTTCAAAGAAATAATGCATTTTCACTATATAATCAATAGAGCCCCGCCCCAACACCAGAACCCCTGACCCTGGGGCCATGAGTTTCACAATTTTGGTAGAGGCACTCTTGCTCATCATAACTATGAACTTAATTTGTTTATTCAATACCCAGGAGCAGAGAAGAAGATTTTTAAAGACTTACTGCATTTTCACTATATAATCAATAGAGCCCCACCCTAACACCAGAACCCCCGAACCTGGGGCCATGAATTTCACAATTTTGGTAGAGGACTCAATGCTGATTACAATCACATCAACAGTTTGACTGCTTGATGTCCGGGAGTAAAGAAGAAGATTTTTAAAGATTGCACTATTTTTAGTGGTTTTTGCCCCACCCCCCAGGCCCCAAAGTTCACAATTTTTGTTCCCCTTCACCCACAGATGCTATATGCCAAATTTGGTTGAAATTGGTTCAGTGGTTTCAGAGAAGAAGCTGAAAATGTTCAAATGTTACGCACGACACGACGGACGACAGACGACGGACGACGACGGACAAAAACGGATAGCAATAGGTCACCTGAGTTTACTCAGGTGACCTAAAAAGCAATAGGTCACTGAGTTAACTAAGGTGACCTACAAAGGATTTTAATAAAATGGGAAATAATTTTGGAATATACAGTTATTTTAAATCTGAATCAGTACTGCAGTTTTTCTCACCTTGCCATATCCAGAGCAGTGGACACAATAGAGAACTGAGAATGTTTGAGTGTACACAAGGATCTGTGTACTGCTTCATCAAAACTACATTCACTGCTAGAATAAAAAACAAGAGGCCCTTGGGCCACATCGCTCACCTGAATTGCTTTAACCATGTTTGTCTTTACCAGATTTCCCCCTTGTAATACGAGGGTTGATCCAAAAATAATGTCACAACTTTGATAAAATTGCTATAAATTGACGTAAAGCAACAAAATTACAAATGATGGAAGCTTCATTTATTTCAAATCAGACCTGAAAAATTCAAAGGAATATAATGTATACTTTCCAAAATATCGAATTTTAAAGAATGTCCATTTATGGTAGTCGTCTCACCTAAATATAATGTCATATGACGGATATGCACCGTCATACTTTTAAGCGTTACCCCTGTTCATTAAAAAATATTTGTGATTCACAAACACTTTCACCAATTCCACTTTCTTTAAGAGTCCTTGGTACCATTATACACTCACTCATTTCATAATTAAGCTCTCTAGATCTGTCAAAATTTTTTGAACAGTAGCAAAGACAAACTTTTTTGACATCAGACACCACTGATTGAACGTTTCCATCCGATCTCCTATCTTTCGGTCTTTTTGTCCTCTGCTGATCATTCAGTGACCAATCACCCGCCCAAAGTTACTGAAACCATCTATTAAGATGTCTCTTATTTAGATTCTTTGTTCTGTAAGTCTGATTAATTAAGGTTACTGTCGCTTGTGATGATTCCCATATTTTGAAGCAACAAATGCGTTACAACTCGTTGAGCCATTTTTTTTCCCATTTCGACAATCCCTTTGTTCAATTTAACGGAGTAAATCAACAACATTTATGATCACAATAAAGTGCCATGCCACAGCATGATACGCCCGTCAAAAAATTACATTTTTCTTGAACAGTTTAGCGTGCAAGAAAATCAGGTCAACCTTGATTCTAAGATTTTGATGATTTTTCCATTCCTGAAAATATTTATCCATCCCCTGTGATGTAGGCATTGATTATAATAAATATTACATCATTGATAGATTTCTACGCTGGTTGTGTTAGACCTTGTCAAATGCCCATCATATTAAACAATATCAAATTAGTCTTAACACCTTAATCTATACCAAATTAATTTTGAAAAGAAAAGGCTGGCCATCAAATGACATATGCTATAAACTGACCAGCAGTTCTTCTGTCTAATCCCCAAAGGATACAGATAAGACTGCTTGATCAGATAGCCTTCCTACAATGAACTCATTAATCTTGTCTACTCATTACTACCAAGAGATGAATGGGTCTGCACTATCTACCATAAAAATTTTTTTTAAAACATATAAAATACTCAAAGATTTTTTTTGGTTGAGATTTAATGTCCGACAGGTTTTTTTATGTCATTCATATGGACATACTGATTCCATCCCACCCCATAAAATTAGTTTTTAAATTAATGATATTAATGTATAATATCAGATTAGTCTATTATGCAATATCAAATTAGTTTTAATTACTTTTCATCAAGTTCATTTTAAAACTTAGGTTAGCCAACAAGAGCTTTTTTAATCCAACAGGCTTAACCATTTGCCCAATACTCAAGGGATATAGATAGCACCAATGCTCTAGCTGCCAGTTAGCTCGTCACACTAAACTCATTAATCTCTCTCTAATTTGACATGCAATTTTCTGTTATCAAAATTCTTCTTGACCAGTGCTAGATAATTACACTCATGGGAGAGGTAGGATTTCTCTAACATACATTATATTTGTTATAGATTGCTGTCAAGTATATTCTTAAAAAAATAAGTATTTTCTTGATTTAACACTTTTTTAATAAGGACAGTGCAATACTCTTACATTATTTGGGATGTGAAAATGAAAAGTAATAAGACACATTTTTTTTTTAAATTTCACTTAAATCAAAGGTCACACCTTGAAATAGGTCGCGACACACCTTCTACCTAAGATGCATAAACTAGCCAAGTTTGATGATTGTAAGTCTTATAGTTTTCTAGTTATGGGCCAGAAAGGATTTTTCCATATTTGGCTACATCTTCTTAATTAAAGGTTAGAGCGACCTACTTTTTGTGCGCGACACACCCTCTACCCAAGATTCATCAGATGACAAAGTTTGATAATCCTAGACCTAATAGTATTAAAGTTATGAGCCGGAAACAAAAAAGCTAACAGACAGACGGACAGATGGACGGACACGAAGCCTATAACATAATACGTCCCGTCTTAAGATGGGCGTATAAATACCATTGCCGTCATTAATTTTCAATTAAAGAATAGAAAATGATGAGAATTGTGTCTTTTAAAAAAATTAGGAGATAAGATATTTTTTTAGAATCTTTTTAATGTGTTTGTCTTTTTCATTCTAAAAAAGATACGCTTTAAAACGTTCCGTTCCGTTGTGACACAGCGACACCCCCTATACTCTATATTTTAAACATCTACAAAATAAATCCAAATAAACATTAAATTAAAATTTCAATGTTAATTAAATTTATATTTGTGCATCTTTTGGTATATTGTATTTGATAATGTGACAGTGTCCATAAAAGATATGGACACTGTGACATTACTTTTGGATCAATCCTCATACCTATTGTGACCCCAACCTACCCCACAGGTCAATGACTGTCAAATTTGGACAATTCAAAATTTACACTACCCCATAATGCTTTCACATAAGTTTCAGCTCTTCTGGCCCAGTAGTTCCTGAGAAGTAGATTTTTAAAGTTTTTTCCCAAACGTTTACATGTAAAACTTGGATTCCAAATTATGGCCCCGCCCTACCCCCAAGGATCATGAGTTGAACAATTTAGAATCTACACTACCCAAGGATGCTTTCACATAGTTTTTCTGACCTATTGGTTTTTGAGAAGATTTTTAAAGAATTTTCCTGTATATTTCTATGTAAAACTTTGATTCCCTATTGTGGCCCCGCCCAACCCCCCGGGGGGTCATGAATCAAATAATATAGATTCTACACTACCCACGGATGCTTCCATATAGTTTTCAGGTTTTCTGACCCAGTTGTTCTTGAGAAGAAGATATTAAAAATTTTTTAAAAATATATTTATATGTAAAAGTTTGATTCCTTTTTGTGGCCCCGCCCTACCCCAAGGGGTCATGATTTGTATAATTTAGATTCTATATCACTGCAGAATGCTTCCAGATAAATTTCAGATTTTCTGGCCTAGTGGTTCTTGAGAAGAAGACTTTTCCTTTATACTTCTATGTAAATCTTTGATTCCCTATTGTGGTCCCGCCCAACCCCTGGGGGTCATGATTTGAACAATTTAGGCCAAAGTTTTTTTTTTTGGTTTATGATTTTTTCACCACAAAAATATGCATTGGGTGGTCGAAAAATAAAAATAGAAATAATTTGGAACCTTGACATATTTTTTCTCGAGCAGCATTGAAATCTATTCAAATAAAAGTAATAAACACAAAACATTTTTCAACTTTATTATTTTTTCTTACCATTCAGTTTTATGTCAACAAAAATGAATCGCACGCCAAATGACTCAAGAACAGAAATGGTAGTATCAGGATCTGTTACTGTCAATGGTTTTCATTCTTCCGAATTACAAGTCTGAGTTTCCGTAATAGACACATTGCACTGGGACAAATATGGGTAAATATAAGTGAATCGGCTATTCTCTGGTCAGCCTTTCGACTTATGAAAAAGTTTTTGGAAACTCCGAAAGTGATGGATTGCTTTCACAACAAACTTTTTAAAATACGTTTGTCCCGCCATGTAGTTTGACAATCTGTATTTGAGCAGGTCATTTGAATGTTTGTGAGAGTCTGCCGCAGTACAGTTAAGGCGCACAATGGAAATATCGACAATATATTGTAATTAAAACTGTATTCATAATCGGGATGGCAATTATTTTTAGTACATTATTTATATCGGATAATTGTAATTATGGTTAATAAGTACATACTGAGAATTATTAGATTTTATATTTAGACTTGTAACGTGATGCGGAAGTCACGTGATTTTAGCACATTTACGTGCAGTATAGATGTTACCTATAAATTTCACTAGTGCAAGGGCATAACCAAGTTAAAATTCCAAGTTTAGTTTATAAATATTTTCAACACGCATTGTAGTTTCTGAAAAGTGCTGCGATCCTATCTAAATTCTGCAATTTCATTGTTAAAATTATATTTGTATGACAGAATGCTGTATTTTTTGCTGGTCAATGGCATTAAATATTGATATATCTAAATTATTTTTAAGATTTCATCAGGATCGCAGCAATTTTCAGATAACTTATTACTTCTAGAGTTGAATTGTAAAAGCTTACTATGATCCATTGAGTGTATGCACTTGCACTAGATCAATTTATTAAGACCCCCACGTAACCCTCCAATTTGCTTGCATGCAAATATAGGGCAGTATCTATTATATACGTAATATACAGAAAATAAATTAATAAAATCTTAAAGAAGACATTGAATCCAAACTAATGGCCTATAACATATCGGTAACTAATGTTTTATTTAATTATAGAATACATTTTTTGTTGAAAAAATATTTTTTAATCTGCCTCTCACTGCATACAAACTGTGTCACGTTGTACGAAATGACGTCACATTGACAAGTGGATTGCGATCAGTGACTTGTTTATAACTTGTTATGTGGGATTTAACTAACGACAAAACAGCATGCTGTAGTAAATTTTGATGTAGTTTGATGATTCCTTACAGGTTAAATTAGCAAATCACCTCATTTTGTGGTATTTTAAAGAATTGTTGTATGATGTATATTTTGTATGATGTCATAGTTAAGTTTTCCTGTACAAATTAGGCTCCGCCCCCTTTTTGTAACCTTAGCTGTGCTGCGATTTTAAAATGCTTTAATGATTAAGATGTGTTGTAACTTAAAAAAGCAGTTGTTTGGTCGAGAAAATTTCGGAATAAGAAGACTGTTTCGAGAGTCAGACACATTATGTTTATTTTCGTAAATAGGGGAAAAAAGGGTTGGCGGAATTGTAAGCCAAGAGAAAAAAAACTTTGGCCTTAGAATCTACACTAACCCAGTATGCTTCCACATAAGTTTCAGCTTTTCTGGCCCGGTGGTTCTTGAAAAGAAGATTTTTCCTATATATTTCTATGTAAAACTTTGATTCCCTATTGTGGCCCTGCCCAAATCTGGGGGCTATGATTTGAAAAATTTAGAATCTACACTACTATATGCTTCCATATACCATATGAGTGGAAATTTTAGTGAGATGCAAATTTAGCGATTTGTCCTTAAAAATTGGTATTTTATTTTTTTCGAGATGTAATTTTAGAGATTTTAGAAAGCTTACTAAAGAATCTATAACAAATAAAGTGCAATTAATTTTTAGCGATATTCAATTTTAGCGATTTTGACACCCTCGCTAACAATGCCAAAATTAAATCCTCACTAAAAATTCTACTTATATGGTAAGTTTCATCTTTTCTGGCCCAGTAGTTCTTGAGAAGATTTTTTAAAGACCTCACCCTATTTTTGTCTTTTCTTGATTATTTTCCCTTGTAAGGGGACTTGGCCCTTCATTTTGAAAATTAAATTTCCCTTCACCCAAGGATGCTTTGTACCAAGTTTGGTTAAAAATGGCCCAGTGGGTCTTGAGAAGAAGCCAAAAATGTGAAAAGTTTACAGACAAACAGACAGCTAGATGGACGAACGACGGACAGAATGTGATCAGAAAAGCTGACACTTGAGCCTTCAGCTCAGGTGAGCTTTTAATTAAAAGAATGGAAAATTTGAAAGCTAAACGATAATGTAAATACTTGCCAACAGAAAACTACAGTGTCAATGATGTGTTGATGTTTTTAGAAGGTATAATGCCAGAGCTTTATCATTCCAAAGATTGTTTTACCTTTCATCCATGTTAAGATCCCACTTTCCTACTTTAATTGCAGACTTGAAGATAAGATTTCTTATTGCACCAGACTTTGGATTTGGATAATTTTCTAAGTAGCTGTCCAACAAGTTTTTTGATCCAAAACTGTCCAGAGCCTAAAGATTTAAATTATAAAGAAAATAAAATTTTCCCCATTTATTCCAGGTATCACGAGTTGTTAGATAGAGATGTCCTTTACCTTAAGTAAGTCCACTTCCTGTTGGCTGTGCTGCTGGAGCCCTATATCGTATGTGATAACAGCCTTCTCCCACTGACCCTCATGTTCATACATCCTTATTCTGTACAAAACAAGAACAATATCAACTTAATTATCCTATATTAATTAGTTAAACCATAAAAATTGGAGGACATTGTTTTGGTGAATTCCGCAAGCAATCTACAAAATGTGGTCCATAACATTCATATTTTTAAGTTTAACTATACCACCAAATTGATTAATTAAAGAAGAAAACTGTTTCAGTTTATTTACAAAAATGGATCAAGAGATAATCTAGGCTACCTTGATACTGGATCTGGGAGACGGCCTGCCCCACATCCATACACCCCGTCTGGATCCCCGATCTGTCTGTAGGCCTCCAGGAGTAGGTCCTGTACATTGAGGGTCACCTCACCAGACACAGAACTCAGAGAATCCACCTGGGAATCTTGTGTAAAACTCTGACTTACAACCTCACTCAATGAAGAGGATTTCTTTAATGCCTCCTCCTGTTTTATTCTAAAAAAGTTTTGTTTTACTCCGTTATATTGTACATGTACATAATGTTGTAATGAAAGGAGAAGAAATACTAATATATATATTGGAGAATGCAGGTCTAATCCATTATGATGATTAGTTCATCGCAAATACATATATCTGCATAAAACTTTTTAAAAATCTTGTACATGTATATATATATATATATATATATATATATATATATATATATATATATATATATATAGCCCCAGCACAAAGGTTCACTCTCCGAAGGTCCCAGTTCAACCCCGGCCCGGAAGTGGGTATCCATGTAAAAGTGAATTTCTTTGTGCTTTCTATATTAATATTTCTTCACTTAGGGCAGTTATGTTAGTTTAAGAGTTGTTGTAAAATGTGCTTTATATATATATATATATATATATATATATATATATATATATATATATATATATATATATATACCAAAATTTAAATAGTGTCTCAGTAATCGGATAACAATATTAAAAAATGGTAAAAAGAAAACACAAAAATTTCTTTAGCGCTTTCATATTAATATTCAATTTGACTTAGGGCAGTTATGTTAGTTTAAGTGTTGTTGTAAAATGTTTTATATATATATATATATATATATCCAAAATTTAAATAATGTCTCAGTAATCGCATAACAATATCAAAAAAAAATTTAAAAAGACAAGAGGCCCATGGGCCTTATAGGTCACCTGAGCATCATGCAACAACTTTACAACGATTGACTTTGGTTCATGTTTTAAACTAGATGTCATGGCATTCACAATTTTGAAAGAGGCACCATTGCTAATCATAACTATACACTTAGCATGTTTAGTTTGGTTACTTAATACCCATAGACAGGGTAGGGGAACAAAAAAATGCATTTCGACTAATCAGTAATGAAATTGTTTGAAAATCTTCTTCACACGTACCGCATCGAGGGTTCTTACATTTAGAGACTGTATAAGCATGGTCGTTGAATTGGGAAGAACAAAGTATTCTCTTTAGGTTTTTGGGTTGGCGTTTACTGTTGATAAAACGACAGTTCTTGTATATGTTTTTCGTTTGTTCATCCTCTCTAAGTAGGTTGTTCAATTCATAAATAATTGAAGTCATGTTTTGATTTCTCGGGTTATGCGTGTGCACAAATGGTATTATTTCAACGTCATTCGCACGTCGTATGTTTAAAAGTAACTGACTTCTATCACACTCCTTGGCTTTCTTTATACCATTATCTACAAGTTGTTCTGGATATTTTTGGTTTAATAAATACAGTTTTAATTCCTCCAGTCGTATATCCCTGATATTGGTATTACTCACAATGGTGCATATCCTTCTTGCGAGGTTATATGGTATAGCTGTTTTAGTGTGATGGGGATGGCTCGATCCAAAATGCAGATATTGGTGTGTATCGGTTGGTTTATAGTAAATATCCGTATTTAAGCTGGTATTATCCTTTGTTACAAGAACGTCGAGGAATGGCATTTGCATGTCATCTGTTTCCATCGTGAATTTGATATCGGAATTCATTTGGTTCAAAAAATTATTTTTCCTTGGTATAGAGAAAAAATAAAATCCAAATTCAAATGACAAACTCAAACTTTTATCTAAAGCGCTTTTGACCCATGCAGGCTCATCAGTAAATTTGAAATTGTATACAACTTACATTATGACGTCATTCTCGTAACATTATGTAGGCAACGTTAAACATAATGATTGTGACGTAATAATAATCAAGTTTTACAGTTCATCTGATCAAAGTTTAGCACCTATTATTAATGGCAACATTTTAAATATAAATTGTACATAATAAAATAATTTGATATAAATTTCTTTTAACTGTTCAATTTTGGTTTAAACAGATTTATAACATACTGTTCTTTGGCTTTCTGTAATTGTTCATTTTCCTCTTTTATTTTGTAACAAGAGGCCCATGGGCCACATCGCTTACCTGAGAAGTTTTGACCATTCTGTTCTTTACCAGATTTCCCCCTTGTAATACATTATGTATCCCCACCCTACCCCACTGATCATAATTAAGACATTTTGAAATCAACTACCCCAGGATCCTTCCATGTGCAAATAAGTTTCAGCTTTTCTGGCCCAGTGGTTCTTGAGAAGAAGATTTTCAAAGATTTTTCCTATATATTTCTATGTAAAACTTTGATCCCCCCATTGTGGCTCCACCCTTCGCCTGGGGGTCATGATTTGAACAATTTAAAATCTACATTACCCAAGAATGCTTCCACATAAGTTTCAACTTTTCTGGTCCGGTGGTTCTTGAGAAGAAGATTTTCAAAGATTTTTCCAATATATTTCTATGTAAAACTTTGATTACCAATTGTGGCCCCACCCTTCCCCCGGGGGTCATGATTTAATTTAGAATCTACACTATACCAGGATGCTTCCACCTAAGTTTCAGCTTTTCTGGCCCAGTGGTTCTTGAGAAGAAGATTTTCAAAGATTTTTCCTATATATTTCTATGTAAAACTTTGATTCCCCATTGTGGCCTCGCTCTTTCCCCGGGGGTCATGATTTGAACAATTAAGAGTCTACACTACCCAAGAATGCTTCCACATTAGTTTCAACTTTTCTGGCCCAGTGGTTCTTGAGAAGAAGATTTTCAAAGATCTTTCCTATATATTTCTATGTAAAACTTTGATTCCCCATTGTGGCCCCACCCTTCCCCCGGGGGTCATGATTTTTACAATTTACAATCTACACTACCCCAGTACGCTTCCACATAAGGTTCAGCATTTCGGACCCAGTGGTTCTTGAGAAGAAGATTTTCAAAGATTTTTCCTATATATTTCTATGTAAAACTTTGATTCCCCATTGTGGCCCCGCCCTTCCCCCGGGGGTCATGATTTGAACAATTTAATATCTACACTACCCTAGGATGCTTTCACATAAGTTTCAGCTTTTCTGGCCCAGTAGTTCTTGAGAAGAAGATTTTCAAAGATTTTTCCTATATATTTCTATGTAAAACTTTGATTCCCCATTGTGGCCCCGCCCTTCCCCCGGGGGTCATGATTTGAACAATTTAATATCTACACTACCCTAGGATGCTTTCACATAAGTTTCAGCTTTTCTGGCCCAGTGGTTCTTGAGAAGAAGATTTTTTAATGACTCCACCCAATTTTTGTCTTTTCTTGATTATCTCCCCTTGCGAGGGGATATGTCCCTTCATTTTAACAATTTCAATTCCCCTTCACCCAAGAATGCTTTGTACCAAGTTTGGTCAAAATTGGCCCAGTGGTTCTTGAGAAGAAGTCGAAAATGTGAAAAGTTTACAGACGGACAGACAGACAGACGGACGGACGACGGACAAAATGTGATCAGAAAAGCTCACTTGAGCCTTCGGCTTAGGTGAGCTAAAAAGGAAATATATAAAAATATCCTTTGCCACAAGAATCAAAGTGTTCACTACATGGCATGTTTCTTATGATTAACATAAAATGGTCAGATTTTTTTAACAAGAGGCCCACAGGCCTTATAGGTCACCTGAGTATCCCGTAACAACTTTCCAATAATTGAATTTGATTTGTGTTTTAAGCCAGAGACCATGAAAATCACAATTTTTAAAGAGACACCATTGCTTATCATAATTATACACTTAGCATGCTTACTTTCAAATTGGTTACTTAATACCCAGAGGTAGATCAGAGTAACAAAGAGGAAATGCATTTCCACTTTGTAACCAGTTGTGCATCCCATCCCACAGGAACATATGACCCTGGGGCCACATGATATTTCAAAATTTTAAAAATTTTATCATAAATTTTATTTCATCAAAAATTGTTGACTCATGCCAAAGTGCAGATTTCAAAGCATTAATTTATTTACAAAATAAAGTCCTTGTTTTCGTGAATGTTGCAGAATAACCTCCGAGGTCGAGAAATGTTGTTTGAAAGATAAAAGCCGAGGCGTTACCCGAGGCTTTAATATTTCAATCAACATTTTGAGACCAAGGAGGTTATTCTGCATCATTCACGAAAACAAGGACTATATTTCTATTCTGCGACATGTAGTTAGCAGCCCTAAAATACGACTGATCTTTTCTCTATAGAGAATCGAATTAGGTCACCAAGCTGCTTTAATGCTGTTCCATTTTACACCAGAGTGTAAATTTGTTTGTTTACCTGTGAATAGAGTGCAGACAATTTTAGCTTTCGCTGCATTAAAATTAGCCTTTTATTGTTTGTAGCTTAAAAAGATTAATCTTTTTGAATATACAATAACAAAATCAGTTTCCTATTTTACCACTTTATTACCAAGATCACGGAGTTTAAATATGGCGGAGGGAGGTTCGGGAAACAGCCCCGCTTGGCCTTAGAAACCACAGGGGCCGGTAACATACTGTTTTTGATTTTACGTAATCACTATATATATATACAAACAAGAGGCCCACGGGCCTTATAGGTCACCTGAATATCATGTAACAACTTTCCAGCGATTGTATTTGGTTCGTGTTTTAATCCAAAAGCCATGAAATTCACAAATTTTGAAAGAGGCACCATTGCTTATCAAAGGGCAGATTTCAAAGCATTTATTTTTAGTCAAAGTACCCCCCTGGTACCCCTGACCCAGCAGCCCTGAAATTATCTATTTTGAAAGAGGCCCCTTTCTTCATTATAAGGCCAGCATTTTTTTTTTATGTTAAGGTTTAGTTATGAACTAAAAAAGTCCCGAAGGAGAAGGAAATAAAATTTCTTTTTTGATAAATCAATTATTAACATTTGTACATTCTTTTTTATGCTATCCTAATAGGCTCCTTACCACTGGACACATAATGCTTACAAATAGGAAAGTTGAACATTTAATTGCTTATTTCATCATCTGCCAGTTTGGGCCAGTTATATAAATTTTGTGATGTTGATCAAAATATATTTTTAAAAATCAATTCTTTAAAAGTCTTTCAATATATCTTCATTTTTTAAATATGTGTTAGGTGAATGTGTAGACATTGTTCTAAAATTTACTTGATGCCTAAAATTATAATTCCTATC